CGCCTATTCCTCTTCATATCGTTCTCTATTTATCTCGATAAGTACATATCTATTTTCGTCTACGGATATATCTCGCTTTCGACCATTATCATTTCAAAAGAGACCTACCTATCTTAATCTTTGTCTTATCTTACTCCCATTCTCTCTATTTATCACCTTCACTCTATCCATCCTGGGTATGACGATAAACTACATCCGAGAGCAAGGCCTCTGATCAGGAGGTTTTGAGTGACGTGGAACCACCTCTTAATTGCTGGTGTTCCCAGGTACACCCTGGCCCGGGGAGAGATAGATAGATAGATAGATAGATAGATAGATAGATAGATAGATAGATAGATAGATAGATAGATAGATTGTGAACATAGGAGCAGGGTTTAGAAGAAACAACAAGACAATATTTATTAAGAGCTACAAAGGTCAGAAAGTTGTGGAGAGCCATAATCGCCTTCATCCTGAGGTAACGGCACATAAAAAAGAACTATCAGTTTCATAATGATAAAAAAAACACGTCCTTTTTGGTGTGGTCTCGCTCCCAATGACTTAAATTTGACGTTACCTTGGAGTATTTCAAATGTTCGGCTTTCCAAAGAATACCGGGATGTAGACAAAAGAATTCTGCCTGCTTCGCAGACAACACATTGGTTCTTGAAAAATGTCTGGTTGAATGTACTTGAAGAAAAAATACAACCATGAACTTCGGATGGTTTATGTACAACGTTGATTCCAACATTCGAAAAATGGATAATACAATACAAAATTAAACAGACAAAACTTGCCGGTTTTCTTAATCAAACTTGTTTGGATATATATATATATATATATATATATATATATATATATATATATATATATATATATATATATGTGTGTTTTTGTGTGTGTGTGTCATCCACAGACAGACTGTTTCGCTGTATCACAGTTTATCAGTGTGGATAGATATCTGATTGCCTCAAGCCAAGATCGAAGCCTAACCTTTTTGCCATCAGTCGGGTATTTTTCATATCTATATATATATATATGTGTGTGTGTGTGTGTGTGTGTGTGTGTGTGTGTGTGTATAAATAGACAGATGGATAGATAGATAGAAAAATAGGAAAAATAGATAGAAAAATATGTATGTAAGATAATAATAATAGCACAAACACAGCTCATACCTTACGAAGGACATTATGTATGTGCAATGTGTTAGTTCTTGTTTTATTTTTATATTTCTACAAAAATACTCAGTGGAAAAAGTCATGATTCCATTTCTAACCTAAGTTCCGAATTAAAATGAGTAGACAAAAGAAATCAAAGGAAATAATAATAATAATAATAATAATAATAATAATAATAATAATGTGGAGTAATTGTTCAGGGCAAAGTGTAAAAATGCTTAGTGAACGGAATTGACAATCCAAATCAACAATGAGAAAAGAAAGAAAAGTTACAGGGCATAGTAAATACTCAGCTAAAAATATCGACGCAAAAATATTAAAACTCAATAAAACAACAGTAATAAGGTAAAACGTTAACAAAGTAAGAAGAGTGTTCACATGCAAAAGGGATACAGTCACGTGATTGTAGCGTACTCACTTTAAAACAAAAAGGAACAAAAAAAATGGCGGATGAGACCGAGAAGTCGTCTATTTTTATTGGTTAGGAAGAAATTCCAGCATGCATGTGTAGAATTTGTCTATAAATTTGAGGTGTGGATTATTTTAACAGTCATCCCTCTAGCTTTAAATCAACAAATAATAATAATAATAATAATAATAAATATTTAATATATTCTTTTTAAAAAAATTAAAAATCGTAGTTTACTGTAGATTTTCAGAAGACCTTCTGAATTTCGCAGAAAAGATTCATTAGGCAGTTAATTTCAACAAGAACTTTCGATGAATTACTAACAAGTAAACGACCTTATAATAGGCACATAAATAATTAATCGCAACCACGTGTCCTGTAATCTGTTTGGGCCGTTGAGGAACCACATGTACTGCAACATTAGCAGCAGTGGGTGTGTACAGTATGGCGGAGATCAACTCTTTTCAAGCTGGATTTGATTTCAGATTTCTCCTTCTCCTAGTCTGGTTGCCCTGCCAAGACTATAGAACTATTTCTGTCCTGCTGTTCGACCAATAGCTGGAGGAGAAAGGATACGCAGTTTTCATGGCGGTATGTGCCCAAAATATTAGGCGCAGGTGGTATAATGGTTATCGGTGCGGAAAATGAATTAGGCGTGCTGAATTAAGTTCCCGCTCGATTTTGTTTCGTTCACTTTGCACTAATGCCCTTGGAAAAGGCATGACTCCATCTACCCCCAGTTATGGGTTGAATAGTATAGCAGACTGGGCTTTCTAACCTTGAGGTGGTAACCAGCCTATGAGAAAAGAACTATGAATTCAAGTCCAACCTGAAGAGGGTTGCACCCCGTCACGCTATTGAAGATTGCGTTCAGGTATTAACGCCGCTTGGTATTGAACTCAATGTTCACTTTTATATTTACATATTTTGCCCATTAAAATATAGCATAACTTAAAACTATATTTTTATCACACACACACACACACACACACACACTCACATAGACACACATATCCCGACTTGAAGCAATCGGACATCTAGCCACACTGAAGAGCTGTAATACAGCGAAACATATATATATGCTCTCGAGAAATCCGGTTGAGTTCTCGTGAGAAAAGGGTAGTTTTAAAAACAGTGGCTCCCACTGCTATTAACGCATTGCTCTTCAACTACAGTGGTGAACCAAAAACATTGGAAAGTTGAGTAAAGCGAAATAATTGAGAAGTAATAAAGGATTCGGTTCGAAATTCCAATCACCTGAAGAAGGCCGAAACGTACAATGGCCGAAACGTTGTGAATATGGCAATGAAGATGAGGATAACAGTCCGAATAATGTAAATATACGAATAATAATAATAGCTGACCATTCGTATTCGAGGATACCCGTCAACTAGGGCGGCTAGCCAATCCCTATTGCAGACGCTCGCTCAGGCACATTTGTGTTTGTTCAACACCCACATAGACAACCTGTGGTTTATACTTCAACTTTGCTGAGCAGACCTTAGTCACATTTCCTGGGAGAGAGCGTGTTATCTAGAATGATCAACAATCTGAACCCCAGCACATTCAAACCCTCAGTCACGATGACTTGTGACTTCGTGCTAGCACATCTATCGACGGCCCCAAGTGTTCCGTCTTCCCAATTTCACTCACAAGGCTTGGGTCAACCTGTGGCATGGTTTTTTTCCAGGCACTTTCCAAAGGTGCAGCACGTTGGGTCCGTCCCCACTCCAGACCGACAACACCGATAACATCACAAAGTCTCCTTCCTGACAAATCGACTCTGGTGAGATTCGAACCCGGTTCGCTAACCACTCGACTACGCGCCCATATAAATAAACAAATAAATGCCTATATGTGTCATCAAAATTGATCCTCTGTATGGCTATACGTAATTTCTAGTTTTTTTTTTCCTCTCCATCAAAGCTCGAGATTTGTTCGTTACACAGGCGACTGCATGAGTCAACGTGTCTACGAATAACCCTACGTAGAAAAGCGCATATATTATTGAGTAAATAGACAAATAAGATAAGTAGAATGCGCTAACGAATGCCATTACAGTGAAGGTATTCGCTTCAATCATGTATAAAAATCATTAAATGCCATTATCTTTCTCGGAAAAATCACTTTAATAATATTAATACACGCATGTACCTCCACACCAGACACACATACACGCAAACGAACTTACATACACACATATATATCTATATACACATATATCTATGCATGTACGTATACTTATATATGTGTGAATGTGTATTTGTATATATATGATTGATGTGTTTGTTTAACGGCATATCAACAGCTTATGGGTCATTTAATGGTGAAATTTAATTTTCTTGGGAGCTTTAAAGTAATTAAAATATGATATATGTTATTCTGCTTTCACAATTGAATACATGGTAGATGATACTCAGCTTTTGTGCATATATATGTTCGTTTGGTTAGGTTTGTTTTACGGCATATCAACTTCAATGGGTCATTTAATGCCGACAATTTTTTTTTTCCTGGTAATATTTTTTGTCGAAAATCTATTTCTGTTAATATTTTTTCCTCAAAAATGTATAGCTGGTAATATTATTTTTTCAAAAACGTATAGCTGGTAATATTTTTTCAAAAACGTATAGCTGGTAATATTTTTTCAAAAACGTATTGCTGGTAATATTTTTTTTTCTTCAAAAATTTATTTCTGCTAATAATTTTTTATAAAGTATTTCTGTTATGAAAAACTATTTTTACACTTTTATAATGCTTTTTACTTCTATTTCGGGGTTAACTATTTGCCCATAGCTGGGACCCTAACAGGTGCTACCACCCCGGGTCTGGGTGGACCTGGGAACACCAGCAATTAAGAGGTGGCTCAACGCTCCTCAAAGCCTCCTGATCAGAGGCCTTGCTGTTGGACGTAGTTTATCGTCATACCCAGGACGTACATGTTCATGAGGATATAATTACTAGAGGCGGTGATGTATGTGTTTTATATTGTAGTTTTTTTGAAGTTATATTTTGGAATACAGATAGATTTCTTTAAGAAATTGTAGGATATGATATGGATTAATCTCATGAACGAGTTCTTTCATGTTGGTTACTTGGTTGATTGATTTTGTGGGTTATTTAATGCTGAAATCTAAATATTTTGAACGTAGTTTTATGGCTTCAACTACAAATAAAATGAATTGTTAGCCATATTGCTATAAAATGTGTTGTTGTTAATTCTGCTTTAAAATGTATTGTTGGTAATTTTACTATAAATATTTATCGTTGGTATTTTTTACAAAAAAAGCATTGACAGTACTTTCACTATAAAATTATATTTTTATACATTCATAGTGTTTTGTATTTGGTTAGGATTTCTGTATTTGCCCATAGCTGGGACCCTTACAGGCGCGACTACTCCGGGTCAGAGTGGACCTGGGTACAACAATAATCAG